TATATTTCCCTTCCCCTCCCCCTTCTCCTCCTCTTCCTCCTCCTCCTCCTTCTCTTGCTATGTAGTTTAGGTTGGCCTTGAACTCACTATGTAGCCCAGGCTGGCCTCTAACTCTTGGCCATGCTCCTGCCTCAGCCTCCCAAGTGCTGGGATTTCTGGGATTCCTGGGCTAATAGGCACAATACCATCACACCTGGATTTTTTTTTTTTAATTTTGAGACAGGCTATCCCTAGTTACCAAGTTACCCCAGTGTGGGCTTACCCTTGTGACCTTCCTGCCCCAGCTTCCCAGAGTGCTGGAATTACAGGTGCATGCCACCTGGCCTGGCTAAATCCATGTTTCTTAACTGAAGTACTGAGGTACTCTGGAGTACCTCAAACCTGGCTAGATAGGTGCATTTAGCATTCGTAATTTATGGAGCAGTATGAACATAGCCACTTACGGGAATGTAGGGGAAGGAGGGAGTGTGTGTATGTGTGTCTTTCTAGGGAACCCTTGAGTGAAAGACACTCTTATCTAATATTTTGTTTCGTTTTGTTTTTGGTGGGGCCCTTGCACTTGTGAGGAAGATGGCGGAACCACTGAGCTAAATCCCAGGCCCACTCTTATCTAATTTTGAAAGCATGGTTTAACTGTTTAAAATAGTGGATTTATGCAAAATACTTTGTATTTATTCCATTTGCCTACTTTACCTCTTAATAAAATTGTACTAGGCAACATAGAAAGAAGAACTGGAGATGCCAATGAGTTGGTGTCTAATCCGTATTTTTTGTTTTGTTTTCTTTGTTTTTTTAAAATGGTCTCGCTTTGTAGTTTAGGTTGGCCTTGAACTTGCCGCAGTACTCCTGCCTCAGCCTCTTATCTGTATAACTATCAAGATAATGTGAATCCACATAAAACCCCCAAATAAAGATAAATCATAGTGTCTGCTTCACTCACAAGAGGACAGCCAGGTCATTTAGTATCACAGGGCTTCTACTAGGGGTTAGTTATAGGACCAGCACTTTTTGTTCCATGGGAGTAGGTGGAATCGCCATTTGATATGATTTAAGGGCAGCAGAAAGTTTCCTTACCCTGAAATATTTTTCCCAAGTGACCTAAAAAGATTTGTCACCCATCCTGAAATCCCGTCATCTTGGGTATTACTTACCATTTACAAAATCCTCTGGGAGCCTGGGACAGGAGGATTCCCTCAAATTCGAAGCCAGCCAGAGCTACACAGTGAGTTCACATGGGATTATAGCTGAACTACTTGGCAAGACCTGGCTTCAAAACAAAAACAAAAACCAAAACCAAAACCAAAAACAAAACAAAACAAAAAAACTTTTCAAGGGCCAGGGCTGTAGCTCAGTGGTGCTGCACCTGCCTCACAAGCACAAAGTTCTGAGTTCATTTGGTTTTTTGAGACAGGGTCTCACTATGTAGTTGAGACTGACCTGGAACTCACTATGTAGCCCAGGCTGGTCTTGAACTCACAGTGATCCTCCTGCCTCAGCCTGAGTGCTGGGATTATAGGCATGTGCTACCACGCCCGACCATAAAGTCCTGAGTTCAATCCCCAATACCCCTCCCCCCAAAAAAGCTTTTCTAAGGCTGGGGCTGTAGCTCCAGAGTAAGATTGCTCTCCTAACGTGGCGGTGGGGGTGGATTCCCCACCACTGAGCAGCAGCAGAGAAATTGTTGATATGATGCTTACATCCCACCCATACCTATCAGCCAGAACAAACCCAATTACTTTGAGCTCCCTGATAAATCTCATTAAGATTTGATGAGATGAGACTAAGCTGATGAAAGAAGCAGGAGAAGAAGTAATTTTGTTTTGTCTTTTCTGAGGCTGGCCCTGCTTGCACTCACTATGTGGCCTCAAATTCGAGGCAATCCTCCTGCCTCAGCCTCCTAAGTACTGGGATTACAGGCGTGCACCACCATGCCCAGCAGGGAGAAGTAGTTTTGATTTCTGTGGAGGAGAGAAGGCAAGAATGAAGCCAAGAAAAGCCAGGGCAAGAGTCCCAGATGCAGAAGTTGCTTCTCCATGGCTGATGCAAGAGCTCGACACTGAGAGACCGGTTTCAGAGTCTTCACAGGAGCTCTGTCCTGGCCGCCTGCAGCTCTAAAGAATCTGCTAGTGTGTTCGCAAGATAGGTGTGAGTATCCAGCTGCCTGGGAGCAGTGGGCCAGAGAGATGGCATCAGATACTGTGCTGTTGGGTAAAAGAAGAGACGGGGTGGCGGGGCAGAATCTGGCTTTGGCAGAGCTGGGTGTTTAGAATTTCAGTGGCCATGCCGGAAAGCTCCCTTCGGTCTCTGTTACTGAGGACAGGCCAGCGGGGGCGGGCAGCATATGCTCTTCCACTGAGCTACATCCGAGACTATTCTCCCCCTCTCCCAGTCCCACAGTAGGGATTGAACCTAGAACCTTTGCACTGAGCTACATCTCCAGTCCTTTTCTGTCA